CCTCATGAACGGCACCACAAACATTCAGAATGATACTATTTAGGAGGGAGGGCGGGGCGTTTTTTTTTCCATTATTGTGTCTCTTAATATTATTTTTTATTAGCTTACACAATTCCCACTAACATATGTAAGCGCACGTACAAGAGTGCGCTTACTGCCAAGAGATGCTCACAACTTGGCTCAATTCAGCACTCACTCTCACGCGGCTGGTATTGACTCTGATCTATGTATTCTGCAGATCCCAGCAAATTGCTATATGCCGCGCTGTAATTCTCTAAATAGTTGAAAAAGCAACCAAACATATAGTCACATAATAAACTGCCGAATATGTATATTCACCATGACATACGTTACACACTCATGTCTACCTACGTTTAAATATACACTCTGCAGGCTCACTGTAAATTAAAATTTCTGTTCAGATCGGAATCATTGTATTCGTGCTCAACAACGCACTACCTCCCGCATCCCACCTCACCTCTGCATCCCTCTCTACAGAACGGGGGCACGGTTCAGTTCTCCCATTCTTGCTGCCCGGGTCTCCATATCCTACAATATCTACCTCTCGTCCCTCTTATCTCATCTCCCCTCTCCCTCTATTCTCCCTATCTTTCACCCTTATCTACTCACTGACTTCGTCCTCTCTGTGTCGTTCGTCTTGTCATGGTGTGTGCTGTGTAGTCCTCGTTCCTTGCTTCCGTCGTCGCCTTGTCGTGTCAGTTGTTCCGCCTTCCTCCCGCTCCCATTCCCCTCCTAGCCTCCCATTCCCCTCTGTCGCTCTCCCTCTTCCCACTTTCGCACCTTCACCTTCACCCTCACCCTCACAACTCACCCTCACCCTCACCCTCACCCTCACCTCTCACCCTCACCCTCACCTCTCAACCCACACCCACAAACCCACACCCACACCCACATCCACATTCACACCCACATCCACATTTCATTCCACCCCACCGCATCACCCACACCCTTCCATCTCCCTAACAGCCCCCCCCTCCCCGCCCCTTCTTTAAATCTTCCCTTTCCCTGCTCCCTCCACACGCCTCCTCCCCTGCCTCCCTCTCTGCCTCCCTCCCCTCCTTCCCTGCCCGCTCCTATGCCTCCCTCCCTACGTCCCGATCCTACCGTCTCCTCCCGACAGCCCAGGCGAAGATCGCGTTCGTGCACCGCTGCCAGGGTCAAGGGCATGCTGGCCACTTGTGGCTACTGGGCGCCCTTCACGTTCAGACCATTTCTCGAAGTGACGGTGCGCTGTCCAGGGAGGTTGCACTTCGTTAGAGGACGGTTATATACTAGCTATATTGATGGTGGTGACAGAACTGGTGGTTGTCCCTCTTAGGATGTCGATTGTGATAGGTACTTGTCGCTGTGATGAAGAGAGGGGTGGGAGTAGGTGTGAGTGAAGCGAGAGAAGGACTGGAAGTGAGTGGGAGAGACGGAGAGAGAGCGTGCGAGAGGAGAGATGAAGGACGAAGAGCGAGAGGCAAAGTGGGAGATGCTGAAGAGGGAGAAGGGTGAGAGAGTAAGAGGCGAGAGAGCGGTAGAAGAGTGATATGAACAGGAGAGTGAGAGAGATTGGATAGAGTAAGAGAGAGGAGTAGAAGAGAGGATAGAGATGAGAGATGATTAGAGAGACCGTAATGAATGTAGAGAGAGTAAGATAGTATATATGTGTGGAGGATCGTGGATGTTGGAGTGGATGTGTGAGGGATAGGAGTGTCTGGATAAGAAAGAAAGTAAGATGAGCAAGATAGGTGTAGTAGGTGTAAGGCTGGAGAGAAAGAAAGAGGAGAGGGAAGTAGTGGATATGGATTTCATTTCATCAGTAAGTCATGAATGATTTCCCTGCATTTCTTCGCGCATTTCTTTCGTGAAAATATATCTATCTATGATTTGAGTTGAATAACAGGCCTCAGACTATAAGGAGGTTGCACTCGTAGAGGACGGTGTGGTGGACGAACTGGTGGTGTCCCTCTTGGACGATTGGGAGGTACTGTGGCGTGAGAGAGAGGGGGGGAGGGAGGGGAGGAGGGAGAGGGAGAGAGGGAGAGGGGAGAGGAGAGGAGAGGGAGAGAGGAGAGAGGGAGAGAGAGAGAGAGAGAGAAGAGAGAGAGAGAGAGAGAGAGAGAGAGAGAGAGAGAGAGAGAGAGAGAGAGAGAGTTGAGAGAGTGAGAGTGAGAGGGAGAGAAGAAAAGAGAGAGGGAAGTAGTGGAATGGATTCATTTCATCAGTAAGTATAATGATTTCCCCTGCATTTCTTCGCGCATTTCTTCGTGAAAATATATACATGATTTATGAAACAGACCTCAACTATAATTCCGAAGAAAAACAGGGAGTTCTATATAAGCACAGTTTATCTTGCCTATATTTGAAAATATGATTAACGATGTTTTATCTTTGAACATCTTTTTTACCCCGATAATCTGGGTCTTCTTTGTGATGTTTGGCATCTTGAAAAGCTTGCACCAGTACAGGGTGCGGAGGTCATCTGGCAGGCTGATCTGTGCTCGCCAAAGAAAACAAATCGTCAATTGGACTGAAATCAATCAGATGAGATGAAAATAAATAGAAAGAGCCAGAGCCAAAAAGATACATTAATAAAGAGGTGAGAGGAAAGAAGCGAGGAGGAGACGAAATGAGAGAGGAGTAAAGGAGAGAGAGAGAGAGAGAGAGAGAGAGAGAGAGAGAGAGAGAGAGAGAGAGAGAGAGAGAGAGGGAGAGAGAGGAGAGAGAGGAGAGAGAGAGAGAGAGAGAGAGAGAGACAGACAGACAGACAGACAGACAGAGACAGACACAGACAGAGACAGACAGAGAGAGAAGAAATGAAAGCACATATACAAGATATCCACTGTACAACATATTCCACCACAGTATTTAAACACACTCCAAGCCTTTACATTATCGCTGACGAGGTCCCACGTCTTAACATCGTTGCCGAGGGTCGGGAGAGAGAACTGCGGCTCCTGGAGGTACATGCTCTTGGTTCCGCGTTTCTCGTGCCACGCGATCTGGTCGTCCTTACCGAAGGCCCAGATGACCCTTACGGTGTCGCCCTTGGAGACAGAAGGAGAAAAAAGTTACTGCGCGTCTTGTGACAAAGGGCGAGGTCTTCGGAACAGACGGAAAAATGATTACACGCTGGACGTTTCGGGATAAATGGTTGTGTCGAGGTTGAGGCGATGCATCTTGTTCGGTGTGGAATTCATGGCGAACAGATTGCAACAGGAACAACGAAGGGAAGGACAAGAAAACAAGAAAACAACGAAGCAATAGCGAAAAGGCCTTCGGCATATTCGTGTGTTTTCTTGTCCTTCCCTTCGTTGTTCCTGTTGCATCTTGTTCGGTACAAAATACACGTTTTCGAAGCCTTTTTAGAGGGGGATCTGAGACCAGCTGATGGACAGACAGCTGAAGTAATATTTGGATATCAATCTAAGCGTTGAGCGATAAAAAGACAGAGCAGGAGATACCAATTACAAAAAATATCATGATGATTATAATAAATTACGATAATGATAAATTATGATAATGATATGATGATGGTGGTCGTGGTGGTGATGACGGGGATGATGATGGTGATGGCAAGAATAACAATAACAGTAACATCAATAATCATACTCATATTCACAATCATATTCATATATTCATAATAGTACTACTAATAAGAAGCAGGTGAAGGGAAAAATAAAAGTGAGAGATAATAATGATAATAATGACAACAAAATAATATCGATTATAACAATTATATTTAATCTTTAAAATGCTAAAACTGATAATAATAATAAAGAGGATAATAATGGCAGTAATAATGATAATAATAATAATAGTAATAATAATAATGATATTAATAATAACAATAAAAATGATAATAATCATAACAAAAATAGTAATGATAATGATGGCAATCATTATATCATAAGGATAATAAGAACTATCATCATGATAAGTGATCATGACATTGATGAGAATAACAATGATAACACAATAACAAGACAAATTAATATCAATAAAGATCATAAGAAATAGACAAATTGAAATTAGCAATGGACCACGATAAACAAAGGGATAAGAGAGAGAAACCTAACCAGAAGTGACAAATAAAAATAGCAATGAAGCGCATAACAAATCTCAGGAAGCGAGGAGCCTGACCGAGAGCTCGAAGTCCTCGTCGTCGCAGGTCGCCCAAGGCCGGGAGAACCTGAGCACGGTGTGTGTGTCGTTCTCGAAGCCCGACAGCAGCGTCACGCTCTGCAGCTTGTCCTTCCTTGGCTCTGAGTTGCCTGTGGCGAAGCGATCCTGCGGATGGGGATCGGAAATTGAGACAGCTGTAAGGGGTCGTTCTGCTATGGCTAATATTTGCTGTATGCGCGTTTGCTTGTTTTTTCAAGTGCTTGTTGGTTATCTACTACTTTTTTCCTTATTTTCTTCATTGTTTATGTCTGACTGGCCATGGGATGACTTATCCATTCAATCACACCTTCTTTGTACTAAGACCTTTGTGAGACTGACCACGAGTCCGCCAAGCGTCCCTTGACCCCACACTCACCTCCAGGGTAACCTTGCCTTCGCCATTGACCCAGCCGAGCACGATGTCGGCGTCCCGCATCCCGCCGTTGGGGGAGAACCCGAGGCCCACGTAGCCCTTCGTCGCCACCTTTGAACAAATGTGAATCAGGTTAATAAAGGGAAAAGAATGTTTGAAAACTTACATACATAAAGCTGTGTTATTTGTGTAAAACACGATGCTCATTGTCACTATTTTCTTCGCTCTTTGACGAAATTCTGTGGTTACGCGCCACGGCTTCTGACAAGGTACTTGCGCTCACCTGCACTTCGATGACGATGTCCTCGTCCCGCGGCGTCCACAGCATGACGAATTTGCCTTCCTGGTCCAAGACGGCTCTGTGCATCAGGTCCTTGGACTCGAGGGACTGGCCGAGGACGCCCGTGCAGGCTGCCAGCACCACGAGGCTCCCCGCGACCACGTTCATTGTGGTCTCCTGTGATTTAATTGCAAATGCATTACGTAAACATAAGTATAACCACGAGAACATATGACATTAAATACCCTACTTCTTCCTTAAGATGCCTTTAATCCGCCATAAAATTAATCACGATTAATGAATAACGAATGCAAGGTCCAAGCATCTCCGTTAGTGCCAAGTCCTGGCCCTTGTGCAGCCATCGGTTAGGTTACATATATATGGCGGTGGTCTTAACCTAACTTAACCTAATCTAACATAACATGACATGACATGACATAACTTAACCTATCTTCATTTGATTTATTTTAAACATTGTATAAAATATATTTATTGAAATCTCTCTCATATGACAGCGCTCCAAGGCCCGTGACGCAGCCGCCCCCGCGCCCTTCCCGCCCGACGCCGACGCCTACATCCTGCGGTTGAAAAGGCTGCGATTCCAGGGCGTGATTTTGCCTCCTATGTACAGAGATTTCATTTGACTATTCTGAGTTTTGCAAAGGGAGGGAAAGGGAAGAAAAAGGGAGAAGAGGGAAAGGGAAGGAAAAGGGAGAGGGAGAGAAAGGAAAGAAAAGGGAGGAGAGGGAAAGAGAAGGGGACAGGAGGGGAGCGAAAGGGAAGGAAAAGGGAAGGAGGGAAAGGGAAGAAAAGGGAGGAGAGGGAAAGGGAAGGGGACGGGAAGGGAGGGAAAGGGAAGGAAAAGGAGAGAGGGAGAGAAAGGAAAGAAAGGAGGAGAGGAAAGGGAGGAAAGGAAAGGAAAAGGAGAGGGAAGAAAGGAAAGAAAAGGAGAGACGGAAAGAGAAGGGACAGGAAGGGAGCGAAAGGGAAGAAAAGGGAGAGGAGGGAAGGGAAGAAAAAGGGAGGAGAGGGAAAGGAAGGAAAAGGAGAGAGGGAGAGAAAGGAAAGCAAAGGGAGGAGAGGGAAAGGAAAGGAAAAGGGAGATGGAGAGAAAGGAAAGAAAAGGGAGGAGAGGGAAAGAGAAGGAGACAGGAAGGGAGCGAAAGGGAAGGAAAAGGGAGAGGGAGGGAAAGGAAAGAAAAGGGGGAAGGGAGGGAACGGAAAGAGAAAGGGAGGGAAAGTACAGGAGGGAGGGAAAGGAAAAGAAAAGGGAGAGAAAGGGAAGAGGAAGGGAAGACAAGAAAAGAAAAGGAACAAGGAGGAAAAGGAAAGGAAAGAGGAAAAGGAAATGAAAGGGGAGAGGAAGGGAGGAAAAGAAAAGGAAAGAGGAGAGGGAGGAAGGAAAGGAGAGGGAGAGGAAGGATGAAAAATAAAAAGGGTATGGAAATGAAGGAAAGGGAGAGACAGAAAATTAAGAAGAAGGAAAGAGATGGGAAGGAGAGGAAAGGAAAGGGCAGAGAAGTATGATGAGGAAAAGAAGATAAAGAAAAGGTAAGGAAAGGGTCGAGAGCGGAAGGAAAGGAAAAGGGAAAGAAGAAAGGAAAAGGGAAAGGGAAAAAGTGAAAGGAAAAGATGAGAAAAAATGGAAAGGAAAGCTGAGGCAGGGAATGGAAAAGAAAGAGAAAGAAAAGGAATGGAAAAGGAAAGGGAGAAATGGGAGAAGAGGAAAAGGAAAGGAAGAAAAGGGAAATGAGGAAAAGGAAAGGTAGAAAAGGGAGAAGAGGAAAAGGGAAATGAGGAAAATGAAAGAAAGAAAAGGGAGAAGGGGAAAAGAAGAAAAGAGAAAGGTAAAAGAATACAAAAGCAAAGGAAAGGAGAATGAAGCAGACGAAGGGAAGGGCAAGCGAAGGGACGGGGGAGGAGGGGGGGGAAGGCCAGGGCGGGTTCGACGCACAAGAAATTCCCGACACAAACATGTCTCTTGAAATCAATAACGAATTCATCAGCGGGTTTATTCTGTAATTTTCCTCGAATGGCAAAGCCTTGAGAGAATAAACACTAATGGAAAAACAAAGAATTGCAGATGTTGTTTTTCGGAAGGAATGATATCCCACGAAGGAACACTAACAAAGCTGACCTATCTCATCGCCGAATGGGTCTCCGGTCATTTACTAATGGGCACCAACATATTATGAGGAATTGGTAATACTGGTAATCCAAAACTTTCCGCACAGAGAACTGCAACATCCAAGCGATCTGCAAACTGTGTGGAAGTGTACAACTATCGACAAAACTGCCCGTTCTCACAGTTGGCGGCGCTCGGTCGGTCGTTCACAAGCTTGCTTAGTCAAACCCAGATCATTTACACAATTGGGGGGGGGGGGGCATGTACCACAGTTCCTTTAGTATTTGCTATTTCAAATTCTTATGATGTCACTGATATAACATGACAAAGTTGTATCAACAGGTGAACCATTCTAGGCGAGGCAGAGCGTACATTTCTATGGACTTTCTATGTTGTTTCTGTTAGCTATAACTTGCTACTGTGATAAAAAAAGAAAAAAAAATGGCGTTGAAGGAGATCTAGATTCGCATATAGTATTATCTGTGTCTGTGCGGCATTTTAGGGGCGGGGGACGGTATCCATATGTTTGACTCTCTTCTCTATTTAAATGAATATGGTGACTGCAGATATGTATTTTCATGATTTCCATGTGGATGTTTGTGGAGACCTTCATTCGAGGATCGCTGACATGAAGAAACCAGTGTCCAAATTCATCTGCTCACAGTTTAATATTTGTAAAAAGTTTTCATACCCTCATCCGACACGGCATTTCCGTTAACTTTTTGCTGTCACTCGTTCGAACAGGTTTAGTTGCGCTTGTGAGCTATTTCTATTTCGGTACAAAGCTCTGAAGCCCCCTTCGCACTTCCACATGTGTAGAATTCATGACGAACGGATTGCACCAGGAACAGCGAAGGGAAGAACAAGAACGTCCAGGGGCCTGGACGCTCTGCTTCGGTGTCTGGGGCGGCAGAGGAGTGACCTGTGGCATTCCAGCATTCGACCGAACACAGGAGTGCGTAGACAGACCTATCGACGTCGTTTTCTTTCTCCGTTGTATTATCAATCCCGACTTTATATGGGCAAAATATCACTACTAACGGATAGAATATCTCTGTAGAAGGGCGCATTATGAGCGGAATCGCAGAGGATAAGAGAATACTGGAGACAAATCGATCTGTTTTTTTCTTCATATTACCTTTCCGGTCAGTGAACCCGTCGCTCGCTGGTTTAAAATGATATAAAACGTCGGTACATGACAAAGGTATAAGTTTGTCAATATTGGATTGGTGTCTCTTCTCGACATTCCAGATTTCAAGCCCTATTTGTGTCTTTACCTAAGTTTCATGAGTTTGTACTCGTTAATTCACTGCCAGTGTTCGATACTAGATAGCGCCAACAGTTTTTCTGTGATCAATATAAGAAAAATCTTTCCTCTTAAGGTTGCACAAGCCGGACTCTGCCTTTGCCCCTGAGAGCCACCTCCGCTACCCCGTCTGCTCTTTTGTTTACATGAACTCGAGATTTGGGTCAAAATGGCTTTAAAGGAGCTATGCGTCTATTCTATTCTTTTAGCCTTCTCTTTTAGATCCGTTCTTGGACATAGACCTTCCGCATTTTTTCCACGTCGTTCTGTCTCCAGCCTTCCGGTACCAACTCTTTGAAACTCGCTGACTCAACAGGAAACACCTTAATGTTGCTTGAGTCGTGTATCATGATGGGGAGAGGGCGGGCCTTACCCTACCACGCTGGCCTAATGCGGGTTGGTAGGGGCTCATATAGTCGCCTTTTACGCCACGCAGTGACATTCGTTGGAAGTATTTTTTCACGTCACCTGTCGACAATCACGGCGAAGTTCCTTGCCCAGGGGAACAGCACGCCAGTCGGGACTCGAACCCTCTAACTCAGACTGTGGTGGCAGTCTCTGAGTCCGATTATATAATGATATTTAGTAAAGTTTTAAGCACACCACTGGCATTATATCACTATAGGCGGAAGAATACAAGTTGGTGAGACACCGCTGTGGCTCCCTTTTCCCCCGCATGGTGCGCCCGGGCCTGGTCAATAGGGCGATAATCCAGTCATGTAAGGATTAGAGAAGCCAGGAATACCGATTAGTGACAAGGCTCTTCCAAACAGCATGGCGGGGGCCTGATGTGCATTTTCTCCTGAGTTTCACATGTGGGCCTAGTCTCTGAAGTAGGACTAAAGTTACTGGACTCCAGGCACTTGCCTTCGCTGCTTTCTCTTTATCGGCTTTTCTTCTGGACACTAGCCTTACTACTGACATTTTATCTTTCTCTTATCGTTCCGGCCCCCGAAGGAGGAGGGGTGACCACCAAAACCATTAAAAGCCAATTTCATCCTCGTTTGCCATCTCTTCGTTCCTGTCCTGCACCTCTCTTACACCCCCTCATTCAGACGTTAGGCTTTTATCAGAAAATGTGCTTTTCCATGTGGCATTTTCAGAGAGAAAAAAGGTAAAAAACAACCTATTCATCGCACTTGTATCCTCCTCCTCCCCTTCCCATGCTTCACAGAGGTTCTTGCGATGCCAGGGTCTTACTCACAAACACGCATACATGTGGGAGAGTGTGTTTGTGTGATATATATATATATATATATATATATATATATATATATATATATATATATATAATATATATATACATATACATATATATATATATATTATTTATTTATTTATTTATTATACATATATGCCTGTGTGTATTTATATATATATATATATATATTATATATATATTTATTTATTTATTTATTTATTTATTTATTTACTTATTTATTTATACATATTTGCCTGTGTGTATATATATATATATATATATATATATATATATATATATATATATATATATTTATTCATTTATTTATACATATATGCCTGTGTGTATTTATATATATATATGTATATATATATATATATATATATATATATATATTATATATATATATATATACATATATATATATATATTATACATATATATATATATATATATATATATATATATAAATATATATATACATATATATATATATATATATATGTACATATATATATACATATATACATATACATATATATGCA